GAAACCATAGCAACGGCGTAGGAAAGCCGCAGGACGGTCCCAAGAGGGCTCCAAAACGGGCCAAGAGGGCCCCCAGAGGCTGTCTGGAAGGCCCATGCGGGGGACGATTCGGTCCAAACCGTCCAAGATTGCCTCCAGACAGCCCCATGGGCGTCCAAGACGCTTGCATACGCGACCACGAGGCGCTCCAAGCAGGCCTCCAGAAGCAAAAACCGTCCCATTCCCCAGGGAGAACGTACATTTTCAGCATATTCGCTTCTTGGGCTTCTACGAGGCCCACAACGGCCAAGTAAACCGCCAAGATCGACCTCCCAAAAGCTCCACGACAGCCTCCGGGCGCCCCACGAAGGCCCCAAAAACCATAACAACGGCCCGGGGGAACAGCAGGACGGTCCCAAGAGGGTTCCAAACCGTGTCTAGAGGGGCCTCACAAGCTGTCCGGACAGGCCACGCGCGGGACGATTGTTGCCGCCCCAAGGGGTCGGCGGTGTGGCGTAAGCCAATGAATGAGGAAGGAGGGGAAGGAGAAACAGCAGCAGGATCAGGAGCAGGAGGAGCGGGAAGCGCAGGAGGACCAGTGGAACGAGGAGCAGGGGAAAGGGGAAGGGCGACAACGACAAGAAAGTTGGCCCGCGCTTGGGGCGAGAGCGGACTTATGAACGCCGTGAGCCAAGCGACGATCGCGAAAGGAGGCCAACTCTACAGCGGGAGTATCATGTCGGCAGAACCAGAACGAATGATGTTCCCGCCGAACACATGTATGCAACGAATGACGTGTTGACGTCCTGCTTCAGAATGTGCAATAGAAAAGTGGCCCCGTTCGCAACGAATATGGAGAAGGGGTAACGATCTTCTTCATATCAGCATGCAACTCCCAACTATGCCTTCCTAATGCGTCGATGATTTCTATCCACCGACGGGTGCTAGAACGTACCTGGAACCCCAAAACTGGCCACATCGTGGCATACGCAATCGGTCGGAAAGGGGAGCTGTATACACTCTAGGAGGTTGTGGTGGATGGGCAAGATGATGAACAGGAAGAGGAGAACGACAGTGATGAGGTTGAGGACGAGGAGGGTGATGAGGAGGAGGTGGCAACGGAAAAAAAACGATCAGCAGCAGCAGGAGCCAGAGAAGCGCGAGTAGCAGGAGGACAGTGGACAGCGGAGTAGGAGAAATGATGGGGCGATGAATACGAGGAAGGACTCGGATCCAGAAATGTGGCCCGCGCTTGGGAGAGACGCCGTACCATCGAAGCACTGCTTCTCCACAGGCAGCGTACTGCCCCGAAGCGTGTTCCTGCCGGCTGCGGAGGAGGGGGAAGGAGGGCGCGAGGGAGAGGCAAACGACATCCAAAGCAGAAGGGCAGGATGAGACGAAGGCCACCGGGCAAGCATCTACAGAGGGCCTGCACGGCACGTCGGGCCCCTCGAATGCTCGGTGTAACGGTGCAGACAAATCCACGGGGCAGCTACCAACATCGTCGGACGCACCTACGCATCTCATCGTTCTCCATTGAACCTGCACCCACCTGAGAATACCTTGGAGACGTATTGCGTGAAGAAGCCACTTACTTCGCCGCTTCGATAAGCAGAAAAGCTGAAAACACAAGATCGGCATGGATGGATAGTTGTGCAGACACGGATCGTTGGCACGTAGACCGCAAATCAAGTTGATGCAAATTGCGAGTGGGTATTCCTTGATAGACGAACAATTTCTACCCTTGGAAGGCGAACACTCTGGAAGGCGAACACTTTCTACCACCTGACCTTTGGAAGGCAAACAATATCCACCTGATGGGTGCTTTATCTTCTTGGAATTATCTTGGCAGGGACGGCGACCAGTAGAAAAAGACGACGACGACGACATGAGCGAGAACATGCACGCGAAAAGAAGGAAACCGTGCGGGCGGGCTCGACTGCGCGGCGGGTCCTTGAACCGCGAACGCTCCTGCACAGAAGAGGAGATGGGTATAGACAATGGCAGCCGATAACCGACGACGCCGCATGGATAGACGACGGCAGAGAGGGAGCGGAGCCACGACTGGAGCCCGAAGAAAGAGTGCCACCCTCACGCCAGGGCGTGGGGCGGGCTGTCCAGGAAAGCATCCGCATGGCCCGCGGGCCAGGTAGGAGGAGCAGGAGAAGGAGGAGGAGGAGGAGGAGGAGGAGGAGGAGAAGGAGCAGGAGGAGCAGGAGGAGGAAGAGCAGCAGGAGGGGCGTCTGTCGTCCGAGCCGGGGCCGGACGAGCCGGTGTGGCCACGGGTTCGCGGGCGCTCCCAGAGATACCTGCTCCTCGCAGGCCAGCGGCTCCAATGGCAAGGCTTCAGGCTTTGGGCGCCCGAAATGGGTACGGAAGAGTGGGAACAGCGCCCGGCAGCAGATGCTGTCCCAAACCAACAGCGGCCGCTGTTGGGCAGGCGGCCTTCTGTCTCAGTGGGCACAGGCCGTGGCGGCACCAACAGCGAGTCCTGTTCAACACAAGTGGCACGCGTGCCATGGCTCTTGCACAAAACGGAGGGATAAGGAGGAAGAGGAGGAGGAGGAAGAGGAGGAGTAGGAGGAGGAAGAGGAGGAGGAAGAAGAGGAGAAGGAGGAGGAGGAAAGGGGGGAGAGAGGGGACGAGAAATCGGAGAAGTCTCGGGGGGGGCGGGACGGCGGGTGCGGTGCAACGCAGAAATAAAATGGTCGGGGCGAAGGGGGGGCGGGGTGCACTGGGCGGGCGGGGAGGGGAGAACAATCGTGGGGGCGGGACGGTGGGGACCATGCGACGCCGAAATAAAATGGTCGGGGCGGAGGGGGTCGCGCTGGTGGTGGTGGTGTTGTGGTGGTGTGGTGTGGTGGTGGTGGTGGTGGTGGTGTGGTGGTGGTGGTGGTGGTGGTGGTGGTGGTGGTGGTGGTGTGGTGGTGTGTGGTGGTGGTGGTGGTGGTGGTGGTGGTGGTGGTGGTGGGTGGGTGGTGGTTGGTGGTGGTGGTGGTGGTGTTGGTGGGTGGGGTGGTGTGGTGGTGGTGGGTGTGGTGGGTGGTGGTGGTGGTGGTGGTGGTGGTGGTGGTGGTGGTGGTGGTGGTTGTGGTGGTGGTGTGGTGGTGGTGGTGGTGGTGTTGGTGGTGGTGGTGGTGGTGGTGGTGTGGTGGTGGTGGTGGTGGTGGTGGGGTGTGTGGTGGTGGTGGTGGTGGTGTGGTTGGTGTGGTGGGGTGGTGGTGGTGGTGGTGTGGTGGGTGGTGGTGGTGTGGGGTGGTGGTGTGGTGGTGGTGGTGGTGGTGGGGTTTGGGTGGTGTGTGGAGGGCGCGGGGAGGGGCGGGGCGGTGGGGGCGGTGCGACGCCGAAATAAAGTGGTCGGGGCGGAGGGGGCCGGGATGCAGAGGGCACTGGGAGGCTGGGGAGGGGGGAACGGTTGGAGTGGCTGGACGGGGGGGGCGGTGCGACGCCGAAATTGAATGGTCGGGGCGTCCGGGGGCAGGGTGGGGAGGGCACTGGACGTAGGGCGGTGTCGCGCTGGTGGCGGTGGTGGTGGTGGTGGTCGTGGTGGTGGTTGGTGTGGTGGTGGTGTTGGTTGTGGTGGTGGCGGTGTCGTTGTGGTGGTGTGGTTGGTGGTGGTGGTGGGTGGTGGTGGTGGTGTGGTGGTGTGGTGGTGGTGTGGTGGTGGTGGTGGAGTGGTGGTGTTGGTGGTGGTTGGTGGTGGTGGTGGTGTTGGTGTTGTTTTGTTGTTGTTGGTGTGGTGGTGGTGGTGGTGGGGTGTGGGTGGTGGTCGTGAGGTGGTGGTGGTTGTGAGTGGTTGGTGGTGGTGGTGGTGGTGGTGGTGGTGGTGTGGTGGTGGATGTTGGTGGGGGTGGGGGCGGGAAGAGCGCGGGAAAGGGGGCGGGCAGGGTGCGACGCAGAATCAACTGGTCGGGGCGGGTCGGGGGGGAACTGGGCGGAAGTTCCATGGGCCGTTGGCACGTGGGGAGGGTTGGGGGGGGGGCGGGAGGAGTGGGCCTGCCAGTGCGACGCGGAATAAAATGGCCGAGTGAGAGGGGGCACTGGGCGGAGGTTCTACTGGGCCCCTGGGGAACGCTGGGGAGAGGAGGAGGGGGGTGCAGGTAGAGGGGGGCGGGCGCGGTGCGACGCGGAATGAAGTGATCGGGGCGGAGGCGGCACTGGCCGAAGTTATCCTGGGCCATTGGAGCACGCTGGGGAGAGTTGCGAGAGGGGCGGGCAGGGAGGGGATGGGGGCGCGCGGTGCGACGCAGAATAAAATGGTCAGGGCGGAGGGGGCACTGGGCGGAGGTTCCACTGAGCCTCTGGGGAAGGCTGGTGATAGGAGGAAACGGGTGCGGTGCGACGCGGGATAAAATGACCGAGGCGGAGGGGGCACTGGGCGGAGGTTCCAATGGGCCAATGAGGAACGCTGGGGAGTGGTAGAAGGGGTGCGGGGCGGGCAGGGGGGGGCTGGGGAGGGGTGGGAGGCGGGCGGGGAGGGGGGGCGGGCGCGGTGCGACGCGGAAGTAAATGGTCGGGGGGAGGGGGCACTGGGCGAAGGTGCCACTGGGCCACTGGGGAACGCTGGGGAGGGGTAGGAGGGGGAGGGGCAGGAGAGGGCGCAGTGCGACACGGAATAAAGTGGTCGGAGCTCTAGACACCCTGTGCAAGAGAATAAACAAGATCTACTGTCCGTTATGCACCCCATCTTTCCCGTACCCATCTCGATCGCCCCGAGGGTTGCGCGCAGACAGCACCCCGAGGTAGCCCCGGCTGGCCTCAACAGGCCCCACGCGGAGCCCTCGCTGGTCTCACCAGGCACCTCGAGCAGCCAGGGGCGACCTCGGCACCCCGCTCCTCCTCCTCCTCCTCCTCTCCTCCTCCTCCTCCTCCTCCTCCTCCTCCTCCTCCTCCTCCTCCTCCTCCTCCTCCTCCTCCTCCTCCCACCGTAGCCATTTTGGCTCAAGCCGGCCTCAAGCCCCCTGGTCGCCATTTCCCCCGCGCATAGCCGGTCCGGAGTGTGGCGCTGCAGGGGTTTGGGCATGTCGCCACGGGAGCCGCCTCTTCGAGGCGCAGCGGCAGAGCGGGCCGCCGCAGACAACCTGGTGAAGAAGCTCCTTGGCCAGATCGACGTGCTCCGCAAGGAGGTGGATCGGCTGCGTTCTCTTCAGCATGGCCCTGCTGACGAGGTCGCCCGACGCGAAGACATTGCACGGCCTGCTCTTCGCTCCCTTGTGGCTGGCGATCGTCTTTCTGGTGGCCGTCGTCTACGACGGGACGTTGCATGGCATGCAGCGGTTTGCCCGAGTGCTGGTGCCCCGCGCGAGGCATGGGTCGCAGCCCAGGCGGGCCCACGTCTAGGCTCAGGCGTCCCCTCGGCGACACCTGCTTCCGAGGGGCAGTGCCACGCGGAAGTCGGCGGGCTGCAGCGCGACACGGACGTTGAGATGCTGGCGGCGCCGTCGGCCCCCTCTCAACCCGCAGTGCTGTGCCGCGAGGCTCTGCCTTTCTTTCCAGGTGCTGGCGCTCATCAGTTTCGAGGTGGTACGTGCGACGTGGACGACCTCCTGGAAGTGTTGGTGCCTGCTGTCAAGTATCCTGCGTGCAGGGTCCACCCCCCTGCCGCGGATGGCTCTGAGGGTGGTGGCACAGCGTTGCCGCACGAGTCCGAGGCCCAGCTCACCAAGCAGATGGACGAGGTCAAGCCGAACTCGTCCGTCCTCCCTGCCAGCGCGTGTGAGGATCATCTCATGTTCACCGAATCCGAGTGTAACGCAAAGGCGGGCGGCCTGCTTGCGAAGGCTCAGACCGGCGAGCCCCTGGACAAGCTGGCGCCTGCTGCTGCGCATCGTCATGGCCATGTGGATGGTGTCGATCGGGTCTCGAGCTCTTCGTGGTGGTTTGCTCGTGATCTCGTCGCCCGTGTTTGGCTGCGTGAAGCTCCAGTTTGTGAAGATGTTGATGATGCTACACCTTGCGTTGGTGACGGTCCCACCGCTGTTGCCGCTCCTTTCGTTTTCGCCCAGAGTATTTTCCGCGAGGTTGTGGCCGATTGTGAGTACGGCTCCAGCGCGCAGAGAGTTGGTTTCAAGGGTACTCGGCTGGACGCTGGTTCCAAACGTAACGTGAAGGCGAAGTAACATCCTCAGCTTCTCCTGCGACGTGTTCGGGGCTCGTCGTGGTGGCCTTCATCGTCCCCGCCCTGGAGTTCCCTCTGCCCGCGCTGCTGGAAGAGCCCAGGGATCGTGTCCTGCGGTTGATGTGGAAAATCCTCCTCCTCCTCATCATCCTCCTCCTCTTCCTCCTCCTCCTCTTCCTCCTCCTCCTCCTCCTCCTCCTCCTCCCCCTCCTCCCCCTCCTCCTCCTCCTCCTCCTCCTACTCCTCCTCCTCTTATTATTATTCTTCGTATCGTATTATTATTCTTCGTATTAGTATTCTTAGTATTTTTTATAATAATTAGAATTATAATTAGTATTATTTGTATTATTAGTATTATTAGTATTGGTAGTATTATTGTTAGTACTATTATTGTTATTAGTAGTAGTAGTAGTAGTAGTAGTAGTAGTAGTAGTAGTAGTAGTAGTAGTAGTAGTAATAGTAGTAGTAATAATACTAGTATT